ATAAGGGAGGGATTTATTCCTCTCGCATTAATCAATTCTTGATCTCTGCTTGTTGGGAAGATAGTTTGTCCGATTTGGTGCAAGAGGTATCTTGAGCCCTTTGTTGGATTATCTGCCGATTATCCTTGATTCTTTGGGCGTAACTTGGGATCCTACTCCTTTTTGTTTACGCAAAATCCTAATTTCTTAGACAATGTAAAGGTTGTTACAAGAGGATGTGGTAGAGGGTTGGGAAGGGTATAAATTTATGGAAAAGCTCTAATACATAAAAGGTAAGCTTTGATGCAGGAATAAAGAGGTGTTTGGGAATGTAGGTTTGAGGAAGAAAGGAACTCCAGAAGAAATATCATATTTTGGATAAGTTGGCAGCTGAGAATCTCACCTCTGAAGATCAATTAAGCAGATTATTTTTGTTAAATTATGAATTTGAGGAGGCCATAGTCAAAGAGGAGATGAATTGAAGACAAAGTCTAGAATTAAATGGGTTAAGGGGAGGGATGCTAACACGAGGCTATTTCACAGAGTGACTAATGGGAACAAAGGAAGAGTGTTATTGATATATGATACCCAAATTCCATATTAAAAAGATCTATAATTTTTGTGTTCCATATAGGTGTTTAAATCACGCACTGCCAGTAACTTGAGCACAAGTTTTTAAGGCTAGTAGGTTGGATAAAAAAAGTTGTTGGGATCTGGTAGTAAGGTTTGAGACCGTACAGATTGTATTAGAACACGTGTCAACTCAATGATTTTGGTTTAGTACAATCTTGAATCTCACTTTTAGATAATGATTTGTAATTGTGAATCTTGATGAGAACACCAAATATTTGAGTGATAGAGATTATAATATTTTAATCCCACATCGAAAAGATATGTGGGTTGTTGAGTTACGTGTAAGGGTTCCAGTCACATGCTACTAATAATTTAAATTTGAATTTTTAAAATTAGTGATTTATAGTTCACGTTATCAGAGCAAGAATTGTTCAAGTCATATACTACCAATAACTTGAATAGTGGAGATTATAAATCTTTCTAAGAAGAGTCTTGTTTGCGGGTTTGTGGGTTATCTGGTTGGAGCAGAATCGTGAGATTTTCAAATATTAGTTTTTCCTTCTCAGTTTCTCCGGCAGAGGATGACTCTTTTAGCCTCCCCCTCTGATTATTTCCCATATCTTCCTGTTTCTTTGCTACAAGTAAATTGGGAGGCGGTATTATATTGATTATTTTTGGTTTTTGGCTGTTTTTGGCTTTATGGTTTCTCTTTTTCTTTTTCAAAAATATTCCTTCTTTTATCCAAAAAAAAAAACTCTGGCTCCATTTCAACAATGACATTTCTGTATTTATTTCCCTAATTTAGGAGCAACACAAATCATGAACATGATCAACCTGCTCATCTTCGCTTGCGAGACCCCAAGATTCCTGAGCTAGTGAACTTGCCAGACTATGCTGGACCCGAGTCACGATATTGCCCGGCCCGTGTCTATGAGTAAGATAGAGTTTATAACAGCTTGATTTCGGGTTATATTACATATATAGACATTTTTCTTTTCTAAATATATATATCTTTCTGTCTTTGTATGAAATGAATTAGATACATACCAGATGAAGGAGGTCAGCTAAAGTTGCAGATCAATGCTCAAAACTGTTTGCATTGCAAGGTAATTTTATGGTAGTCTGAAATTAAGGCTCTTTTTTTATATAAAAGTTAAATTTTAAATTTCATAATAATTCATACATATATATATATATATGTACACAAACATATGCATCATATAGGAGGTGTTCAAATAAACTAACAACTTCTTTTCTTAAAAATATTATTAGTAATTCTTTCTAACCCCATGCTGCATTTTTACTTTTTTTAAAAAAAAAAAGCTATTTTCAATTATTATAGATAAATATATATATATATATGATTATAAAATAAGAATCCAACAACTATTTCACGTATCAGATAAAAACATAAGTGTTACTATTGTTGCACATATCAATATCTAAAGATGGTCGGGGCTACAAAACCGACATACTTTTTGTTAAATAACTAGTACGTCACTCTCTTTTGATAATAAATTGTGAATTCAAACCACGTAGTATGTTCTTGTATATTTTTCTTTGGAGATTGTATTATAAGAAGTCTGTATTTGTTAATTATGTATATATTTTTACTCAAAGAAGATGTTATTCCTTAGATTTATAGCATAGTATATGTATAGTAGTATATGGTTGGAAGTTTTTGAGTAGTGAGGTAATGCTTGTAAATAACAATTTTCAGGCATGTGATATCAAAGATCCGAAGCAAAACATTGAATGGACAGTGCCTGAGGGAGGTGGTGGCCCTGGATATTCACTCATGTAGGAAAACCTTACCTACCTTCTCTCTCTCTGTCACAACAGGATGTTTTGTGGGTTGTAGTTATAATAACAGTAATCCATGGATTTGTAGATTCTTTTATTTATTTTAACACTTTCTGGTTAATTGAGAAGTCATGTGGATTGATTTGAAAAGACATTTTTTCAAAGAGACACATGAATACAAAGTTATAGCACTACAAAAGTTTTAAATGAATCTTTTACAAATGATGTGGGAGGATTAAAAGAAGTTTGTATGGTAATAACTCATGTTTGGATTTAAGAGTATTTTTACTTTTAGATAGTATAAATTGGTGAAGACAAGAAGTTTTAAATTTGTTAGGATGATTCACACCACCATCAATTTTTATAAATTATGAAAAAAAAAAAAAACTGACCTAAAAAAATAATAACTAAAGAGAAATACAATACCCACAAATGAAAATCGTCATTTATGACTAGTCAGATCATCGCTCAACAATCCTTACAGTTGCCAATATAAATCTTCGAAGATTCAGCGGCTATCGCGAACTCTACTTCCGATTTATGAAATGTTGGATTGAAAAATTACTCGAAATGTTTCAGACATATTAGTATCTTTTATTTGATAGAGTATAATAAGATAATCTATATTATATAACTATAATTTTAAATTTTAAATCATTCCTATTAACTTTTTGGTATGACACTCAAAATTTATTAACTTCAAAATCTATATACATACTCCATACGACCATGGATTCCTAGTCTTCATAACTTAAAAAGCCTTGATATTAAATTCAACAATTCATTTAGAATGATTTTCCTTTTAAGTCTGTGAGAAATATACAATAATATTAAGATAGCAATACACTTTAAAATTATATTAAAACAATATGTAAAATCTAAAAGACATTTAGAACTTTAAAAGACTACATAACATTAACTTCAACAATTTGTTTAGAGCAATTTTTCTTTTAAAGCAGGTAAGTTGACAAGAGCTACATGATATTACCCAAAAATATGTATATATAAACCTCGAAATTTACGATGAGTTCCTAACTCTGTTACGTCCATCCTCGCCGTCAACCTTTCCATCTCAAATGAAGGTTAGATCGGAAGTTGACCCAAACCCTATATAGGAAATAATCACCAGAGACTCATAAAATCCTCCTTCCCCCTCCCCCAAAGCCCACTTCAGTCCTGTTTTCTAAAGAAGGCAGAAGTCGAAAAGAAAGCAACTAGAGAGACTTGAAAGTCTCTAGAAGAAAACCTGTAAATTGCAAATACAACATAGATCAAACAGAATCCTTGTGTTTCCCCTTCCTCTGTGTGCATGTACAAGCACATGGAGCAATCAAAACAAAACACAAAACTCAAAAGAATTGCTCCAATCCGTGGACGACTCAACTGCTATGCTAACCCAGCATTAGCGATTAAACAAAACAAACTACAGAGCCATACTTGAAAGGTGCTAAATATGCTATACCATGCAGCATATGTCCCAAAATCCACTCTTTTTTAACTAAAATCAAATATATATTTCAACTGCCTAGAAATAAATCTTATATAGATTTACCTAAACAAATCAAGAAATTCCTGAAGAGCGTAGATGTCCTATCTGACAAAAGACTGGCTAAAGGTTCTGAACAAATAGGAAAAAACCTCCGATGGTTTACCTTCCAAAATGGTCCATTCTCTCTTAATCCTTCGTCGGAGGGTTAACATCTGATGTATTATCTTTCTGATTGGGAGAAGGCATGGATCCCTTAATCCTCAAGTCCCCACTCTGTTGCTGCTGCTGCTGTTGCTGTTCCTGCTGCTGCAATTGCTGCTGCTGAAGCTGATGCAGTTGATGCTGCTGGAACTGCTGTTGCTGCTGCTTCTGAGAGTGAATTTGAAGTTGCTGGAACTGCTGTGCTGTTAGAAGAGTATGCATTGCGTGATTGTTGGCATAGAATTGCTGCCCAGCTCCGTAAGAAGCAAAATTCATTATAGGGGCACCATTTGGCAAAGCTTGTCCAGTCAGTACCTTCAGATGCTGGATCTCCTCTTTCAATGCATCATTTAAGGCTATCAACCAAAAATGAAAAGAACATTACCATGCAAGAACCAAAGCAACAATACAATGAAATGAGAGAAAATTTATGTGGAACATGAAGTCATGGTCTTATGTTGTATGCATACTAATGCAAGTGAATAGAAGTTATCTTGTAGGGGTGTATACTTACAATATATCTACTTATGTGCAGAAAGGAAGAAGAGGAATGGATAGATAGCCACATCTCTAATATGAGGCAAATACTAAATCACCTACATAGTAATCATTTGGAAAAAAAACCACCTCTAAACATTTGAATTTTCAGTAACAGAGAAGGTAACAACACATGCTAGCTATTGGATTGACATTACAACAAATAAAGGTCCGAGTTTCTTGAAGTGACAAAACTAGATATACTGCAAGAACTGAAGAATGATCTGTCAATGGCACAAAGCAAGGAGTGCTTTATCCTCCACAGAACATTCATTTTAAGATAAAAAAGAAAAATTATTATAAGGCACCCGGGAGTGCAGCCCAAGAACAACATATTTACATATCAGTAATTAAAATGTCAGTAAGGTTACCCAATCCACATCATCAAGAATGGAACTCCACATTGTATTTAGTTAAGATAAGCTTTAGAAAACGAAAAAAGAATGTGAGTGGTTTCAGTACATATTGAACCATATAAATAACATACGATATAAGTCTTTTTTTTCTTGTGAAAAAAAAAAGAATCATACTACAAAAAGAATCAAGGGGTTGCAACTCGTACACAAAAATATTTATATGTCAGTTAAAATATCAACCAGGTCCCCCAATTCCTCACAAGAACAACCCATATAAGTTAATGAACATAAAAGACCTAATAAAGTTGTTGCGATCCACCACCAATGCCATTGTGATGAAATAAATTAACAGAACCATTTAAACTGCAAGAACTGAAATATAATCAGTCAACAGACAGAAGGCATTTAATCCTATATAAACAAAGAGAAAATATAAAAGAAAAAAAAAATACTTTAGTGAAAAGAGCAACATTTTCAGTCTGTAGGACAATTTCAAACATGTGAAGCACCTCATCACATACACCTTTGGAAGAAACAATATCGAGAAGCAACATCATCTCCTCATTGGAATATGACAACAATAATTAACTAGCACAATAAAATTCTTTGAAATAGCACAATAAAGATTCACGATGACATTCAAACCCTGGTCTCAGGTAAACAAGAGGAAAAGCAACATAGAACTCCATATCTTAGACTTATCACAACTCGTATTTCCAGGTAAACAATATGCATTTGCATCGTGTCACGTGTTTGTTTGGTGGAATTATCCATGAAATATAACAGAAACCACTCATAAAATGCTTGTATCTAGACTAGGGCGAAGAAAAAATAAGGATTTATGTGGAAATAAGAAACAAAGAAAAGATACTTGTCTTTAACAAATGTCTCCTAAAGAATATCCTCACCATCTTGCAAGTGAACCTGTTGCTCCATTGTTTGCAAACGCAGTTTCAGCTCACTATTTTCAGCAGTCAGTCCATTGGTATCTCTCTGAAGAAAAGAAACCCATGATCATAAGTGCATATGTAAATGTGCCTAAAATGAAGTTAGTTATGTCACTTCACCAGGAAAAAACAAAAAACAAAAGCCAGGACAAATTGGTTGTATATATAAACAACAGGAACCACACTCTGGTGATTAAAACAAGAACAGATTATGTCCTGCTTCACTACCTGCAACAGAGTCAATTGAGCAGAGAGTGATGTTGCTTCTGTTTGCAGTGTCTGTACTTTCCTCTCCAGCTCAGCAATGTATCGCATCTTCCTTTCCTTTGACCTTGCAGCTGACTGCCTGTTTGCCCAGATCCTATTTACATAGCACAGGAAAGAAAAAACATGTGATTTCAACATGAAACATATGGCTAGATGGCAAGACAACCAAAAGAAAGAAGAATGTCCAGACACACACTTTCATACCCATTGGATCAGATTGTAGTCATTGGGTATTCTATCATTTTAGCAAGAGATAGAATGAGGTTACAATTAGGTCATGCCTTCCTTTTTCAGATTTATTATCGCAATGCATAAATAACGTGTGAAACGTTATATTGATCATGTACAATATTTTTATTGATTAGCTTC